GTGTGTGTGTGTGTGTGTGTGTGTGTGTTGGGGAGGGGGGGGGTTCTGTTATCACAACTTCTCAAATCTCCAACGTAAGCTGTGGGTCTCCAGTTCTGCATGCTCAGGAGACTGTGAGGGTGAAGCTAGGGCCAGGCCTCCTGAGGGTTCTGCAGGGAAGGCCATCCTCCTACTTCCCTGGGCAGGACAACAGCTATGTGGTCATGGGCACACAACATCCCTGTTGCATGTGCAGCCTTTGTTTTGAAGAGTGGGGCGTTCACCTGTTAGCTAACCAAGCCCTAGGCCATTTCTGTCTTTTAGAACAGAACCAGCTAGAGGAGGAAGACAAGAGGTGTGGGATCCATGGGCCTGATCCCTGCCCCAAGAACGCTTTCTCCTCAGAGGCCTTCCCAGCCTGACCTGGCTCTGCTGTCTCTTGTACACTGCAGGCATGACTCCAGGACTCTGCCCTTGGGTATCTGTTCTTAGCTGGCCCTTCCCCACTGGGATATCTCCCAGTGTTGGTGGAGGGCTTGGTAGAGGGTGAAGGTGGTGGCACTGTCCGCATTGACCCTGGTCTGGTTGTTACTGAACTCAGCCCTCTATCCTTTTCAGAACTGCTGACCCCAGAACAGGCACACCCAAGAACGGGTCACCAGGTTCATTTCCTCAGGGGAAGTGCCAAGGTCACCTGCAGCCACATCCCAATGTTGGTGTTTGAGGTTATCCTAGGTTGAAGCAGTGGAGGTGATCAATGACGGAGTTTAAACCCCGTCGTCTCTAAGGCATGGTCATGGCTGTAGAGTAGAGGAGGAGGCAACGAGCAGGGTGACTGAGGAACTGGGCCTGTTTCCACCTCTCCAGAGATCAGGCTGCTCTTGGGGTTTGATTGGCTCCTTATGGTGAGGAGGGTACTTAAGGGTGGTGTTTGCTCATTATCTATTGCTACTTTGGGACACATCGTTCCCTGTTCCTAGCCCAGAATCATTCTTGGTTGATAAAGTCTTAATGAAGTTGATAAAGTTATTATCGAGGCCCTGGGAAAGAATGAGTTGGGTTGTCAGCTAATAGCTAAGAGATAGCTGATCCCTCTCTATCTGACTTGGTTATTCAGTAACCACCATCTGGTAGGAGAGGTGGGACTCTAAGAAGTACCACCCCTTGCTACAAAAAGCCTGGGGGGGGGCATGTGGAGTGGTCTGGGGGACTTCTCCCACATGTTTCCGGACTCCCTGCCCTGCCCAGCTCTGCACCACAGCAGCCATCTCTTGCCTCATGACTCTGCAAGTCTGTTCCCTGCTCCCTGTGGGGCGCCTTGGTTCCTCAGGGAAGGGCTAATGAGAAGTGAAACCTGCAGGTCCTGCCCTGACTGGAGTCCTCAGCTGTCAGGCCTGTGAGTAAGCTTGAGTTGCAGCCTCAGTCTATCCCCACCCTTGACCCTACCCCCATGTTCCTGGGCCCCTTTGAATGACAGCCCTTGGGGCCCTTTTCATGAACACCTGAAAGGAGCCTGGCTAGTAGGAGGCCTGGCTCCAAGTAGGCTGGGGCCCAGCTAGTGTTGTGACTTGGAGCTTAACCTTCTACCCTTTAGGGCCAGGCAGGAAGTCCCAGAGGAAACAAGTGTCAGGCTAACAACCACATAGCACAGTCAAGGAACCCTGGCTCTCAAAGGTTCTGTCCATCCTGCTGACTTTGGGTTCAGGTTTTTTTTTTTTTTTTTTTTTTTTTTTTGGAGGTTGGGATCTAGGTTGGGCATGCCCTGGCAGGTCTGGAAAAAAAAAATATCACAGATCAGAAAGCCAGTGTGGACTGGCTGGTCCTCCTGTCTGCTCCAGGAAAACCTCAGCTACCTAGAGTCTCTTTCCTGTATGGTTGCAGGCTGTCTCCCATCCACCCCAAACAAGGCAGGGCACTATCATCCCCAGGTCTCAAGAGGAGGGGTTGCTGGCCTCCTAATTCCTGCCAGGCAAATAAAGGCCCCGAAACCCTCTTGTACTGGCAGCAAGAGCTGCTTCTGGTCCTTCCGGCTTCTTCATGTGCTAATCTGAAACAGTCCCAGCCATTTTTAAGGGTCAGCTTAAAGGAATGCTGTAAGATCTGTAACAAACGTCTGTCAGTAGTTCTATGAACGAGGTGGAAAAAGTACTTCTCAGAGAAGATAATAAGTATGGGGAATAAAACGTCTTTCGCTTGGTTCTAAGTCCTTACTTTTTGTCCCTGTAGACAGGAACTTGAAATCTAGGGCATCCTCTGGGGCTGCCATGAACCCTGAAGTGGCCGGCAGGATGGAAAGACACAGGGACTGGCACCCCCTTGCAGTGAGAAAGCCGACGGGGGGGCTTCTCCCCGATTTCTCCTGGCTCATCTCCACAGCACCCTTGCCCAGGAGAGAGAGCCCAGCCCTTCTGATGGCTTCTAGTCGTTAAGAGATAGCCCACAGGGCCCTACCTGGCCTAGGCCCTACCTCGTCCGGCCACTTCTGTGCTTGGCTCAATCTCCCCTTCCTGATATCCTAAGCCAAGCAGCGTTCCCAAGCCGGCACTGTTATTTCACTCCTCTGTGCCCTCCCTGGTGCTTGTTTCCCAGCCCTGGTTGACTCAACTCCTTTTCCTGACACCACTTCCATCCCATTGGGCTTGGTGCCCCCTCTGTGTTCCCTTGTCTCACAAGGCTTCCTGCTTTTATGGCATAGTCACCCCAGTTCTCTGTACTTGTCCCCTCCCCACCCCCCAACTAACCTGTGAGCCCCAGAAGGCAGGATCTTCCTTCCCATTTCTCTTGCAATTGTAACATCCCCGGTGTGGCGCCTGTGACATGGTAGGCACATGCATGGATGCAAAAGCAGCCTTGTTTTTCCCAACAATGTCAGGATGTTAGGTTTGGGCATAAGTGTGCCTGTTCTCTGCAACGGTTTTTCCTACCCATAGTTGGGAGGGATGGAACTCTGGATGAAATGGGGCATGGAGCAGAAAAGGATGAACACCTGGGAGAAAGCCAGGTGAAGATGGGCTGGACCTTCCTTCCTGGGAAGCGCCTGGTGTGTGGAGTAGCATGGAAGTTGGGAGGAGAAGGATTTGAACAGCTGGGTTAACCCTGTAGTCCCTCTTTGGTTCTGTCTACCTCACAAGGCATCTGGAAGATCTGCTGAGGTATAGCCTGCCTTACCAGGTAACATTGCTGGGCTCTCAGGAGATACAGTGGGACTTGAGTCCCTAAAGGTCTTTCAGAACCAGAAAGGATCTGATATGTTGTGACTGTGGTCACACATCCTGGCAAGGACCCTGACACCTCTATGTGGTCAGCCAAGATAATGGTCGCAGAAGCTGAGCTATGTGGCACTTAAAGGTGACACCACAGGTACCCAGGGACTAGAATGAGAGTGACCTGGGTAGGGCTGATGCTGTCATCCATGTCCAATTGAAGAAGCCAGAAGCAGAAGGCTTACCTGGCAAGTGGGAGGTGTCACTCAAAGGAGTCTGCTTTTCCCTGGATTAGGCAATAGCCCAGTTAACTATAGGGTTGCAGTTCCTGTCCATCTATTGCTCTTTGCCTAGGCTAGCTGGGTCCTCTCTATATAAAGTTTCTCAGACAATTCTAGAAATCCCCGAACTGGGAATCAGCTATATGGCAGTTGGTAGACCTGGGAAACTTGGTGTTGTCAAGCTTTTTGTTGTCAGTCACTGGAACAGGCAGGCATCTTGGGTAGGCTTGGCTTCCTTGGAGTCCTTAGAAGACCTGTGTGATTGACACGGGTGCCTTGGAAACAAGTAACCAAGGAACTGCTTTGATATTGGGTCTCATTATGTAGCCCAGGCTAGCCTCAGGTTCTCAATCCTCCTGCCTCAGCCTCCTGAGTGCTGGAACAACAGGTGTGCACCACCATCCAAAGTTTAGAAGAAAAAAAATACAGGGCTGGGAGAGACTAGAAACTGATGCCCAGATAGGAAATTAAAGTCCAGGGCGAAATGAGACAGAGATCAATAACTCAACTCCATTAAGGCTCTGCAGAAACACCTTTTGTTTCACAAGAGGTGGCCTGCATTGCTTAATGCTTCAGGGAAGTGAGTTCAGAATTTGGGGGGCAGATTACCAGATAGGGCAGGGTGAGCATCCAGTGTCTGCCTTAGGCCCATGGAGCCAAGGGAGGAGAGGGCGCCAAGGCCTGCTCACATTTCTCCTAGACCCTTCTCTTTCATGAGCAGAGGCACTGAAACTTCTAATGCCTGACATTTCCTTCCAGGCTGGTTTGTTGGTGGGTTGAAACTCCAGGCCTCGAGCACACTAATCACATGTCCTGCCAAACTGTACCCTCAGCCCCATTCTGAGGTCTATTTTCCATATACCTCCTGGTTCCTGGTCGCTGATTCAGCTCAGCTGATGCCTTGCTGGGGAAACGGTGACTCAGGGGGCCCCTGCAGGCTCCTGCCTGGACCCTTGGGTGAGGTGAAGTGGGTATGGTGCAGTGGAAAGTTTGAGACTCTTGACTAGACTGTTCTTTCCATCTGGCCAGCACATGAGATAAGAAGTAGGGCAGGGAGGGCACACGGGGTATGTGAGCCACAGAGGAAATCATCTTTCTGTGCAGTGGAATTGACGAGCCAGGGACCATGAGGCAGAAGAATCAGGTTTTGTCACCAGCTGTCCTAGCTGAGTCATCTCTTCCTATAGTCTGAAATAAATCTGCTGTCTCCTAAGCACAAGGGGAATATGGACCTCACTCTATAGACAGACCTTCTCCCTTTAACTCCATTCCATGACCACCATTTCTGACATTTAGAAAATGATTCTGATTTTCTGTGGCCATAGCTATTCCACATATCCAGACACAGAGACAGTCTTGCCTCAGTGAAACCCTAGAAGTGTTAAGGGTTTGGAAGAAGGTGACTGGAGAAGGTGCTCCTAAATACTCGCCCTAGGAATGTGGGTCTAGAAGAGAGCCTGGAGCCACAATGTTGGTGCTGAGGCCTTGGGCATGCTGTGGCTGGGCCTCTGCACTCTGCTGCTCCTCTCTCTTCCAGGTTCCGTGGCTTCATCCTGCTGCTCACCTTCCTCATTTATGCCTGTTATCACATGTCCAGAAAGCCCATCAGCATCGTTAAGGTGAGACTGGTTGCTAAGGGACAACACAGGACATGTTGGGCCTGGCAGACGTGTGCTGCAATGGGATGCTCTAGACCTCAGATGGTCACCTTCCAAATTCCTTTACCCTGGTCACTGGGACTGCTCCTTCCACCTGGCAGACACCCATTGTCGGTGGTTCTTTCCTACAACCCTCCTGTAATGTTCTCCTACACAATCCCTTTGAGTTTACCTTCCAGACAGCACTGTTGTTTGGTGTTGGTGAGCTAAGAAGGCAGAGGCTTCAGGCTCTGGATTCCATTCATGAGCGCTTTATGGCCACCTACCCCTGCTGGAGGAGGTGCTGGCAGGAGGGAGTGTAGACTGTGGTGGGCAGCAATGGTGCTTGTGATTGAGCAGCAGGCTCCTTGCTCCTCTCTGGGCTGAACGGGATCCAGGGGATGATGTGACCCTTGACCCATGTATGCCATTGCCTTCCAGAGCCGCCTGCACCAGAACTGCTCAGAGCTGGTGAGACCCGATAATGACACCCACGATCTCAATGACACCACATGGTGCAGCTGGAGTCCATTTGGTAAGAACAGGGTGCATCACTATTCGCTATTCCCCAATCCCTCCTGGAGAAAGGGGCTCCTGTGGGGGCAGCCAGCCAACCAATTTTGTGTCTTTCCCATCTGCTTTCAGACAAAGATGACTACAAAGAGTTACTGGGAGCTGTGGACAATGCCTTCCTAGTGGCTTATGCCATTGGCATGTTTATCAGGTAAGAGAAAGGCAGAGGCTGTGCCCATCAGGGCTGGGGGTGGGGTAGATGCTTCATTAATGCTGTTTCTCCTGACTGACCTGGGGCTGCAGGCTACGACAAGGAAGCTGATAGTGCCTAGGTATGGGCATGAGGCCAAGGCCCCACCCAGGCCATTAGCCCATGGCCTGCCTCCTTTTTTCACTGTGGTCACCACACTGTCCCTCCTGCCTGCTGTTGGTGGACAGGAAGCGTTGGTGGGTGTGGACCTGGGTCCTCTAAGCTCTGAACAAGTAGATTCCAAAGGACAGCCTACCCAGTGATGTCAAAATTGTATAACCAGCGTGGGTCTCACCTAGCCAGCTCAGAGCTTGCTGCCAGGTTTCACAGATAGACAAGGCAGGGTGTGGCCCTGAAGGAGCTCACAGACTAGTAGAAAGACCCTTATCTTAGCAGCTAATTGAAAATTGTCGATGTGTTGGGTAATCAGGTAGCGCAAGCTGGGATTGAAGACAAGGGGTTAAGAAAGGCATTACAGATGACCCCTAAATGTGCAGAACCCCGAGCATGGCGGCAGGGAAGGACATCTGGGCTGGAGGTACAGGTGAACACAGGCCAGGAAGGAACAGCTAGGTGCAGGTGGAACCTTCCCAGGGTTACCAGCAGGAGATCTGTGAGGGATGCAACAGCAGGAGGCAGGGCTAAAGGGTAAGGCCACTTGCAGAAGGTCTGCTCCAGGCTGTGGAAAGGGAGAACCACCGGAGGAGTTTAGCGAGGTGTGAGGGAGAAACTGACTAAGGCCTGGGTGGACAGGACAGGGCACAGCAAGGTTATAAGTCAGTGTGACAGCTGCCTACACTGCTGAACTTGGGGGCAGCTGGTGTTTCAGAGGCTTCTATGATGAAAGGGGGAGGGAGGACTTAGAATTTAGAGTGTTGCGTTTCCATTGCTTTAGGGACACCCAAGTAATGCTACCCAAAAGGCAATCTGAATATGACCCACACACATGAAGGGACACATGGGAACCAAACACAAACAGTAAGGGAAGTGCTGGAAGGGGAAAAAGTGACAAGGAGGGGTCAGCCAGCAGAGAGGGACATGGACAGCTGAATCGTCAAAGTAGTGTCAGATAAAGCAGAGGAGCCCAGAAAGTGAGGACTAGGGTCAGTCTTCAGATGCAGTGGGACACAGGCCATCACTGGTCACCATGGCCACAGTGGCTTCAGCAATATGATGGGGGGGGGGGAGTGGTAAAATAGACATAGCAGTAACCTGGAGTTCACCCGTCCTTTCTCCAGTGGGATCTTTGGGGAGCGGCTGCCCCTCCGTTACTACCTTTCAGCTGGCATGGTGCTCAGCGGCCTGTTCACCTCCCTCTTTGGCCTGGGGTACTTCTGGAATATCCACATGCTCTGGTACTTTGTGCTTATCCAGGTATGGGTCTGACTTGCACTTGGGTCTTCGCTCCCCTCAAAGAGAAGTCCCCTGAGGTCCCTGGCCATTCCCAGGTCAGAGTAGACAGGGACTCGGGTCCCAGGTTCCTTCTGTCATCCAGTCAGGGCCCTGTTCCCGCAAAGTCACACATGACTGGCTCATTAAGCCTGCCTGGGGTGCTGTGCTGAAGCTGCTTCAGATGCATGAGAAGTCTGGTCTCAGCTCACGTGACCTTGAGCTAGGAGAAGCCAGTTCACGGCTGTGTGTGTGGATGTGCAAGTGAGGGAAAGGGCTGGCTTTGCAGTGTAGGGTGTGGAGAGCTCCTCACTCATGGCAACTGAACCTCTGCCCAGGGTGCTTGAGCTCACTTTCACCTTCCCTTCCTCCTCCTACAGATCTGCAACGGACTTGTTCAGACCACAGGCTGGCCATCTGTGGTGACCTGTGTGGGCAACTGGTTTGGAAAGGGGAAGTGAGTGTGACTGGGGCAGGGGTGGGAAGGGTAGGCTTGGGAAGTGGGGAGGGGGTGTCTGGCGTACTTTCAGGAGAAAAGATTAGAGAATGTGTTCTCACTGGATCTCACCCTCTGAGAAGAAACAGCTCTGGGGCTAAAAGGGCAGTGCTGTTTTTCTCACCTGCTTTCTCACCTGTATTTGAATTTTTTGATTGACCGTAAAAGGGCCCCACAACTGTTTTTCTCGGACTGGCTTTGGTCTGAGCTATTCAGTTCTTTGCTATGGGGGCTGCCCCCAAACAGTGTGCATGGCATCCCCCCACTACCTGCCAGTAGCAAAACTCAAGTCATGGCCACTGAAAATCTTCAGATGTTTCCAGATGTCCCCCGAGGGGCAGAATCACCCCTAGTTGAAGACTACTGTTTCAGAGTGATATTGATGGGGGTCAAGAGAAAAGAAGGTTCATGATTTCCTTTCCCCCATGGTCAAAGTTCCCATTTGTGCTTGCCCAGGGGGCTAGCTGAAGCAGCCGACCTCCGAGCAGTACTGCCACCAGCTTGACAGCAGCCCGAAGCTTTCTCTGCTCTGCCTTTAGGGTCTCTGTGAATCTCAGTTGTGTGAACACCCTGGAGGCTGGAGGCAGCCAGCCTTTTGAGCTTGGCTGGATGGGTTATTTTCTTCCTTCTCTTCTCTTCAGACGGGGATTCATCATGGGCATCTGGAATTCCCACACTTCTGTGGGCAACATTCTGGGCTCCCTGATCGCTGGAGTCTGGGTGAACCAGCAATGGGGCCTGTCATTTATCGTGCCCGGCATTATCACTGCTGTCATGGGCATCGTTACTTTCCTCTTTCTTATTGAATGTGAGTGGACCCTTCCCACCCCTATTCCCTAAGGTATATTTACGGGAGGAAGCAGCTGGGAATCTGGTGAGCATTGCTGTTCAGGCTACTGGGTGACTAGCTCTGTGACTCTGAAACTGTTTTTATTTATTTATTTAATCTGTAATTTAATCTGGCAGTAGTAAGAGGGACAATGTAGGTAAATGTTTTGTCTGTAGTGGGCGCTCTGCTAAAGGGCTGTGCCTCCTACATTCAGAGTACTACTGTTTTTCCCCATTCTAGGCAGCCCTGAGTTGGCAGGGCCAGGTATATTGCTACTAGCCCAAGAGCAGTCATGACACAGTTCCTAAAAGAGGCAGGCTGACCTAGAAAACCTGCTCCTTTGATGCTAGGGCCATGGAATGTGTAGGGCTAGCTCTGCACTAGCTTACACCCACTGTAAAGTGAGGGTCTAACCTATTGGCAAACTTCTCAGAAAGATATTTGTTGCCCCCCCCCGCCCCAGATCCAGAAGATGTGGACTGCACCCCGCCTCAGCACCATGTGAGTATACCATCCCAGCCTAGCCCTGCCCTCCTAACAAGAACTGACCATGGGAGGGCCAGAAGTTGGAGGAGAGAGCTGTGGCCCTCTAGTGACTGTGCAGGCTGTGTTAGGTCCTTGGGTTAACTGCCCCACAACTTGATGGGTCTGCCAGCCCAAGACAGAAACATACACCTTCCCCCAGCATGGGCAGCCCCTCCTCTCACCTGAGCCATCCTTCCCATTAGACAAGGTTGGCACATGGCCCTTCCCTCAAGAAGGGATCTTCTCCTTTGCTCAGAGTGACCTGGAGAAGGAACGAGACAACCCCGAGGATCCTGTGAATGATCCCTATTCCCGTAGGGACAGTAACGTGGACATTGTAGCCAGCTCTTCCAAGGAGCAGGGCTCTGAGCCTGCAGCCATCAGTTTTCTGGGGGCACTCAAAATTCCGGTGAGATGCTTGTGGAACAAAGGGAAGAGAATCTCTCTAGAGTCTTCCATTAAATGCTAGGGGAAGGCATGTGTGGGTGGCAGGTGGTTTCAAGGATTTCCATACAGATTGTGGGATGGCTTTACGGGAAGAGCAGTATGGGAGGGTTGCCTTGACACGGCATGAAGCCTCAGACACATTGCTGCCTTTAGGATGGGGTGTACATTTGTTGCTTTGTATGGGAGTGATGGTAGTCATGGGGTAGTGCTATACCACCCGTGGGACCTTCACTGAACCAGCGATCTCTTGAGTTCCTTGCCATTATGCCCTCTCTTGTGCTGCCCAGGGCGTAATCGAGTTCTCGTTATGTCTGCTATTTGCCAAGTTGGTCAGCTACACCTTCCTCTACTGGCTGCCCTTGTACATCTTCAATGTGGGTGAGTCCAAGGGGAAGAAGAGCTTGGAAAAAGGGTCTTGGCTGGTGCGGGGAAAACTCCATACTTGGGTTTGGTTCAGGTACACAACCCAAGAAAGGCTGGGCCTCCCTTAGGCAGAGAGATTTGCTTGGCTACTTCAGTAAGTAGGATGCTGAGCCCCATGCACTATCTCCAACCACCTGTGCCCTGGAGCTGAGTTGGGCCTTAGGAGCACAAAGCTCTGTCCTGCAATCCTCTTTTCTCCAGTCTGTGTGTGGGCTGCTTGGCCAAAGATGGGCAGCAGTCTGCCTTGAACACCAACTCAAGGAAGAGGCTGTATGAGCTTTCCTACTCCAAGGCCTCCAAGGCTCTCCTTCCAAGGGTCATCATGAGAGTGATGTCTTTGTACTGGGGTCTTCTGGACTACACTGTGGGAGCTTCCCCAATGCAGTGGCTGCTCTCAGTGCCCCTACCCAAGGATGTAAAGATGAGAGGGATCACTCTTGTGGTTGGAAGGGCTGTTTGAGTCCCACCTGCTCAGAGTCTCTGTTTTGCCATTGATGGAGTAACACACCAAAAAGCAGCATGTTCTGCTTTCCTGACCCCCAGAATTCAGAGAGTCCCACTCCTTATCTAGGACCTTTCATCCAGGGCTGTTTCACTCTTTCCAAACTCTGAAAAAGAACAATGGCTCTCCTGTCCCCCACACATTTACTCTGAATGAGAGACCAGGAAACCATGGGGATTAGTCACTGACAGATCTTGAACTTTAGCTTGCCCCATAGCTCTGCATGGGGGTGGGGGTGGAGCTTCTCTCTGATACTGGCAAAGTACTAGGGCAGTTTTGTAGGCATTGTGACCCTTTGTCTTGTGGCTTTGATGCTGACTTCTGAGTATGAATCGGCCTTCTAGATGTTCCCCTTGTCTAAACCCAGGGTCCCCATCTTCCTGTTGTGGCTGTAGGAATTAGCACAGACCTAAGATGGTCTGTTTAGGAAGAGCCCTTATGGAGCTTTCTTCTAGGTTATGAGTGGGTTAAAGAAATGGCTGATTGGGATGAAGTTCAGGCAGACCCCTACACTCCAGGAGAAAGAGCTGGAGGCACACCGGCATTGTGAGAGACACCTTGCTCTGAAAGGTCTAGGCCATCGTTCAGGGAAAAAGAGTGTATTTTAGGGCTTAGAGCCCAAAGGACTATATCCCAAGCTAGAGCAAACTCACCCTATGGTCCTGGCCAATCATTCCCTCAGCTTCTTCCTTGGGCTGGACCAATGTCTCACAGGAACTTTTCCAGCTGTGACATTCAGGAGCTTTGCTCCAAGCCTCCCAGAGTATCTGATCATATTTTCTTGTGTTTTCCACAGCTCACTTTAGTGCCAAGGAGGCTGGGGACCTATCCACACTCTTCGATGTTGGTGGCATCATAGGTGAGGCTCTGTCCTTTTGTTCTGGCGGGCTGTCTTCCTGCTTGCTTCTATGTAGAGGTGCAGAAAGAAGGAACGGCAGGCCATGATCTGGACAGTGGCTCCAGAGAAAAAAGGCTCCTGGTGTAACCTCATTTCTGCTCCTGCGAGGCGTGGTGGGCCTAAGACGGATGGTCCTTGTGCTTTGGTTCCTTGGAGTGACAGGTGCAGGGGAGGGCTGCAGAGGGAGATGGTCTTTCTTGGGACTAGGCCAGCATGGGGAGGGTGACGGGGCAAAACTGGGCAGCAGATGAGGAACGGCATGCTTGTGTCAGGGGCAGTGTGTGAGTGAGCATGTGTTACAGGTGGCATCATGGCGGGGCTCATCAGTGACTACACCAATGGCAGGGCCACCACTTGCTGCATCATGCTGATTTTGGCTGCTCCCATGGTATGCATCATCTCAGAGCCCATATGCTTGTGATCATGTGTCTGGGGCCTCATACCTGTGTGTCCATCTGTCCATTTGCAGACGTAGCTGTCTCTTTGTACATTGTATGTGTATGTGTATTCCTGAGTACATTCTCTCTCTCTCTCTCTCTCTCTCTCTCTCTCTCTCTCTCTGTGTGTGTGTGTGTGTGTGTGTGTGTTCCTGAACACATGTGGAAAAAGAGAAGTGAGAGTCATCAGAGGACCAGGTCCTGTGAAAAGAGGGTCACCAGCTGCTACATGTTTTAACCAAGGAACAATAGAGAGGTTGAGTACAGACACAAGAGAAGACTGGGGGGAAGGGGAACTAGAGAGCTATACCTAGTGGTACATGCCTATAGTCCCAACACTTGGGAGTAGAGGCAGGGGAATCAGGAGTTCAAGGTCTTCTTCAGCTACACAGTGAGTTTAGGACAGCCTGTGTTGCATGACATTCACCTAAAAAAGGGGGGGGGGAGATAGAGATTACCATGGTTGACAAAGACTTGAGAAGTCTGTAAGGCAGGTAGAACAAGAGATAAGTGGCATCGCAGACTCTGGTCTAGCCGAGCAAAAGGAAGCAGGCATTGACTGTCTCCTCCCTCTTTTAGATGTTCCTGTACAACTACATTGGCCAGAATGGAATAGCCAGCTCCATAGGTGAGGAGGTGGTGTGTATCCTGGTCACTAGACAGGCTCTTCCTGGGAAGCTCCATAAAGCGGGTGTGGGGATAGGGCCAGGGAGTGTTGCTTGCTCTGGACATGGAGCTGCACACAGCCCCTCATCTCTAAGAATACCACCTCTGCTGTCTTCCCAGTGATGTTGATTATCTGTGGGGTCCTGGTCAATGGCCCGTATGCACTGATCACCACAGCAGTCTCTGCTGACCTGGTAAGTGGACCATTCCTGGGTACCAAGCTGGTCTGAGGGCTTGATTAGAGGTTCTGTCTACAAGTCCAGTTCCCCTTCTCCCTTTCCCATCTGTTGTCCTGCAGAACCCCATGGGCTCTTTCCTTGCTACCTCAGGCCCCCATCACTACCCTCCTCAAGTTAGCTTTCCCCCAGCGCTACTTTATCCAGTGGTTTTGCTCAGCTTGGGCTGTCCCACCCTACTCTGTCTCCACAGGGCACACATGAGAGCCTGAAGGGTAACGCCAAGGCCCTCTCCACTGTCACAGCCATCATTGACGGCACCGGCTCCATAGGTCTGTTACTGGTTTTGGCTCCTGGCAGCTGAACCCCAGCCTTGTCTTGGGTGGACCCCTAGGTGCACTGCCCACGGTGGTCAGGGAAGGTATGCTTCCTGCTTTCATGAGACTGTTGTGTACAGGTGCTGCCCTGGGCCCCCTGCTGGCTGGCCTGATTTCCCCTACTGGCTGGAACAATGTCTTCTACATGCTCATCTCTGCCGACATCCTGGCCTGCTTGGTAAGAGTCCCTGGGGTACATAGATGGCTACAGGGGAATGCTTTCTGTCTACAGACTGGAACTCTGGGATGAAACATTAGGGGTCTGGGTTGGTGAGCAAGAGCAGCTGCCCTTTGCTCGGAATGTCTTCCTGTGGGAACACTGCTTTTCTCAGTCACCTGTCCCATAGATCAGCTGAGCCTGGAAGATCATGGTGTCTTCCCTTCCCTCTGTGCCACAGCTCCTCTGCAGGTTGGTGTACAAGGAGATCCTGGCCTGGAAGATGTCCCGGAGCAGAAGCAGCGGGTGAGTTCCCTGGCAGTGTAAGCCCTGCTCCTAGCCTGGCTTCTGGGACTCTTCCCAGTGCTCTGTACTCTGTACTCTGTCTGTGCTGGTCCATTCTGGGCCTCAGGAACATCGAAGCAGCTCTTGCCCCTTGGTGTGCCATTGGACCCCCATGCCACCCCAGACCTGCTAACCTTTCCTCTGTTGTCCCCGTGTGTCTCCATAGCTCTAATCTGGCCCTAACCCACCCGCGATAGTATTTTCCTCAAGTCCCATGCGTTTGTGAGTATTTTCTTCAAGTCTGACTAATACATCATCGGAATGTGGGCTGCATGTGAATCCTCTCTCCTAAGTGTGATTCCCCCGCCTCAGCTTTCTCTGTTTCCTTGGGAGCCATACCTGGAGATTCCAGCTAGTCAGCCTGGTGCTTGGGAAGTATTCCTCAGGGGGTCTGAGATGCTACAGAGGGATTTGGGCACACCTGTGGGGCAAAGGGGGCAGAGATACAGAATCCTTTCTTCTCTGAACTGAGGCTGAGCTGCAGGTGCCTCCTAAACATCAGCAATCAAAGTTACCTGCCCCCTCTGCCTGGGGTGTGTGGGGAAAAGGCAACTATGAAATCAAAGCCTCTGGAACAAATTGCAATCAAAGTGACTAGTCCGGTGTGGTTTCTGCCTGGTGTCCAGTGGTGGTGGTATGGAAAGTGCCTAGGTCAGTGACTGAGTTGGCAGTTGGCCAGGGGCTAGGGTGCTGGTGATTGGGAGACTGTCCCTGGGGCCTTTCTGGCTCTTCTTCTAGCAGAAGTATCTTATTAAGAAGGAGCCGGTGAAACCTGGACCTGGGCTGGATGGTAAATGTGAAGAACCACCTCCTGGGGTCCTGGTAACCTACACAGTGTCTGGGGAAATACCTCCACTTTAAGAAGGCACCATACAAAGAGAAAAGCTGGCAGTAGGAAGCAGTATTAAAGTGGAGACATTTGTGGGGTCTATCCTGCTGTGCCCTGCCCCGGAGGAGGGGGACAGGGACCGGACAGTGGTTTACCTCCTTTTACCTCCATTCTCTGGGCTAGGCTTGAAAAGGGTCCTGGAAAAGGAAGAAAAGCAGAGATAGAGTTTGTGTGTTGGGGGGAGTATGTAATGAGCTGGGATGGAGGCCAGCCTTGGGCGCTGTGGCTCATCTCAGCCACCTTGAAAGTCAGGCATTCTCATTTGAAGTGAGGGGCCAGTCCTGGCAGAACCAAAAACTGAACCTAGGTTTGTGGGGATAGCTGGCATTTCTGGGCACTGCAGCTCTCTCAGGCTGGCTTTCTGGAAGGCCCATTAAGAAATGGACAGAGATTCACTGGAGCAGGGAGTGCTCTAGGCTGAGAACCGGAAGCCCCTGGACATTCTTGGTTTCTATGCACACTCACTTCTAGACCTTGGCAAGTACCTCAGTCTCTACATCATTGGACATAAAGGGGATGCTTCCCTCAAATGCCTGCCAGGGCTGGTCTGAGGCTCCCTGAGAAAGTGGCTTACCTGGTTTGATGCTTGGTAACAGGGCCACATGTGGCAGAAACACTTTGTGTGCCATACTTTCTGGCTTGTTAGAGCCTGCTCACCACGAAGTAAAAAGGAATCCTAATTACGGTCATGAAAGGCAGAAGCTTGTTAAGTTGTGGCTTACTTTCTCTTTCATGTCATCTTTCCTGTTCTTGCAGATATAAACAAATATGAGGCCTCAATTGGAAGCAACAGCATGGAGGGTCTCTACTGGGTACCCAAGGTGCTCCCCAGGAGCAAGAGAATGGAAACTTCCATCATAAGGTGAGACAAAGCCTCCTGATTCAACCAGTTCAGCCCAAACCCACCCTGCCACTAAGGGTACAGAAGACTACGAGCACCAAGCATGGAAAAATGGAAGTCTTCATGACCTGAGCTCTGGGAGCTGCAACCATAAGGGATGGGGCTGAAAGCAGGAGGCAAGACACGTTCACACTCTTGCTTGTTTGGATTCCAAGCACGGACCAAGTCCTAGAAAAGGTGCATGTCTCCTCCCCATGTTAAATTGTAACCTCTTTAATTGGTCTGTACCTATGGGGGCATCTCACCCTGTTTCAAAGGTGCTGGACCTCTCACTGTCCCTTTGTCCATAAACTAGTCTGTATGTGTTTCCCCAAGTAGGCCCCTCATATCTACCCTCCATTGGCCCTGTTGGTAACTCAGCCACTTTGAAGCATTTGCACTGCTCCTGCAGAGCCAAAGCTAGAGTGGACAGAATGTAGGGGGAACTCACTCTGCTCCTGAGCAAACCCATCTACAGAGTCCTTCGCCTCAGCCTGAAGATGCCACAGTGGGTGAAGACATTTGGGTCAGTGCTGTGAAGACTAAGGGGTGAAAACACCAGGGTGTGTTAAGCACCGGGCGCTCACTGCATGGCAGCTCCCCTGTAGGAATGAATAAGAAAATGGATATGAAAATGACTTGGCACCAAGCATAGGTGTCAGGGTTAGCAAGAAAGGAGTGTACCGCTTGGTTTATTCAGGTAACTGCTACATAACAGTTGCTTGGAGCCATCTTGCAGCCACCGTCTTGCCTGGTGTTCTGATGCACATGCTCCTCCCACTCTGAGTCCTTGATCATGACATGCATGCCAGGCTGACTCCTGGCATTTCCACCTGACCTCTCAGCTGCCCATCGGCACCAATACAGATTTGTTTTGCCAACTGTGCCTGTGCTTATCCTTGGTGCAGCCTGGCACAGCAGCAGCTGTGGGGCTCATGGGGGGGGCAGTGAAGAAATGTCACAGGACCAAAGAGATCGGTGTTCTGGGGCTGTGACAGCTAGCATTCCCAGAAGGCATATTCACGACACTGGTGACACATATGATACAGCAGGAGCCTAGACCCCCAGGGATACAAGATACAGTCATTCATTGCATTTACTAGGATCCTGGGTTGGTCAGTGCGTTAGCTGGACACATTGGCCTCAGCAGTAAAATATAAAGCTCATATGCCTGACCCTCACTTTGATTCTGCAGGAAGCAGTCAATCAGGAACCTCTTACATTCAGGACTTGGTAGGGGGCAGGGGCTGACACATGGTATTTTGCTCAGTGTTCATGAAATCTTTCTAGGCTAGAAAGAATTTAAGGGGCAAACTTAAGGCAAAGCTGTGTTACTTTTAGAAACCACTAGATGGTGATACCATCCCATGGTAGAGTCTAGGGTGGGCAGGTGTTGCCATTCTGTTTCAGAGAAGGAAGCCTCTAAGCTCTAAGCTTCCTTCTCTGACTCTCAGACTCCTCCCCAGCATCCCTTGAAGGTCAGTGTCCAAGGAGCGATTCTTGGAGTCTTCTCCCTCCCAGCCTCATTACACTACGTTCTTCCTGTTTCCTCATCTAGAACGGGAACAGCATTGCTTGTATCATAGCACTGATGTGAAGGGAGACGGTGCCGATCACACTGGCTGCCCTTGTCTCCATAGCAAATAAAACAGAATCTGAAAGTAGAAGCAATACAAGCAAAAAAGTACATGGAGAAAAGTAGTGACCTAATTTTGAGGGCTACCTGATAGGGCAGGGCCAGTAGGGGTGATCACGGTGGTTTCAAACGTGACAGCCTCCGAAGGAAGAGTGCATGGGCTTTGTATGACGAGGCATTGAGAAGCGGCACACTGAAGCAGCTCATATGCATCTTGTCGTGCCTTCCTATGTGAGGCATGAGAAGCAGGGCATCAACAAACACACACACTCCAGGCAGGCAAGAGAGGCACTGGGACACTTGAGAAGGGCCTCAAAAATCAGGGCTTAGGCTGCAGGTGTACAAAAATTGGAGGGCACCCTCTCCCCAGGTGCACCCTTCTGCACTCACTTGCCAGGTCAGGTTCTCTGCATCACCCCCCTCTCCACACCCCACCCCACCCCCAGCTCTGGGCACAGTCTGTTCACCAGAGGCCCAGTACCTGTCTTCTCTCAAGCCCCTGCACTCACATGGGGCTAATGCAGGAACATTACGTTAATTAGTTATTCATTTAATTTAACTTCACATTTGGTCTCAATTAAGCTTAAAATGTTCCTCCTTATAGATGCTACAATAGCATGTGTAATTAAAAGGCAATAACTCTTTGTGTTTCTCCTTTAGAGATCCACTGGGAGGCTGGGCTAGTGTGGGGGGAGGAGGGGTGTGGGGGGAGGAGGGGTGTGGGGGGAGGAGGGGTGTGGGGGGAGGAGGGGTGTGGGGGGAGGAGGGGTGTGGGGGGAGGAGGAGATGGAAGGAGAGTGCCTCACTGAAGGTGTGAGGAGGGAACTAGACCAGACTAGGGGTGGGGAGGGTGGAGGCAGGGAGCCCTGAGACCTAGATAAAGCAACAGAGCTTGTCTGTGGTTTTAGACGAGGCCATGCTAGGAAATGGGGCCCTATATTCTGTAGTAGGTATAATGCTTCCCACCCAGAGTGTCTGCACCCTAATTCCTAGAACCCAAGACTATAAATTAGGGGGACCTTGGCATGGTTGTCAAGCAGGCCCAATATAAATAACCACAAGGCTTCCTGTAAATGTCAGTGAGGCAGAGGTAAAGAGTAGAAGACGCTTCACTGCCGGCTTTGAAGACAGAAAGGGCCCACTGACCCTGGAATGTGGGTGACTGTAGTGATATACTGTTTATGATTTATTAAACTTTGACTTCTAGCAGCTGAAAGAAAAGCAAATTGATTGTCCCCTAGAATCTCTCTAAAGTATTGTCTTTAGCCCTGTGAGATGGTAAGGTAATACGGGTGCATCGCTCTAAACCATTTTAAGTTTGTAATGTGTTACAGCAACAATAGGGAACTAATATGCATCACTGGTGTGAAACGGGGCAGGACCAACTTGCAGAAAGCAAAAGAAAATATCAGTGCTGGGAAACTGGCTCATGTTTGAACCCCAGTACCCATGCAAAACAGCCAAGCAAGGTGGCAAGTTATAAACCAGCACTCAAGGGGCATAAACAGGCGGAACCCTGGGGCTTGCTAGCCAACCAGCACAGTTTACTTAGCAAGCTCCAGGCTGGTGAGAACTTTGACAAACAAAAACCAAGGCACCTGAGGAATGATACCTGAGGTTACCTTCGGCCTTCATGACCAAGAGGTGGTGGCACATGTCTTTAATCCCAACACACTTGAGGCAGAAGCAGGTAGTTCTCTGTGAGTTCAAGGCCAGCCTGGTTTACAGAGCAAGTTCCAGGACAGGCTCCAAAGCTACACAGAGAAACCCTATCTGGAAAAATCATTAAAAAAAAAAAAAAAGAAAGAAAGAAAGGAGGAAGGAAGAAAGAAGGAAAGAAAGAAAGGAAAAGAAGAGAAAAAAGAAAAACCCACTTCTGGCCTTCACATGCATGCATATCCACCGTGTGTGTGTGTGTGTGTGTGTGTGTGTGTGTGTGTGAGAGAGAGAGAGAGAGAGAGAGAGAGAGAGAGACCCCCAGAGATTAGCATAGATGTAGGAGATGGCCACATAGCATTGAGTACAGCAGTGCCCATTCTTTAAGAACAATGCTGCTCCCTCTACTGGATGCTTTCTGGTTAGGGTCCCTAAGCAAATGGCACAGACCTGCACCAATCAGGGCCCATCCATGACATCTTTAAGAATATTTGTCCCACACACCTGCCCAATTCCAGGTTTCCTCACCACAATTGGCTGCTGCTTCTGGGTGTTTTTCTTAAGTGGATCTGTGTTGTCTGTTAGTACATGATGGACACATGGTCTAATATAACAGCATTAGGAGCTTACACAGAACCGAACAGCCTCACTCCTAATCTTGACTCCTGCCTACCCTTTTCTTTGCTGCCTACTCCCTCCAGTCTATGTCTGTTGTGTGAAGTGGGGGCACTAACAAAACCTACTTCGTAGATCTGAAACATGATGACATGTGTTTACAGTGCACTTTGAAAAATACTTGTCTTCACTACCTGTAACAAAAATTGTCATGTCTGCATGAATGCACGTATTTCCAAGTTGGGGTTGGGGTGCACCTACAGGTTAAAGGTTCAGTTCTATCAACTATAAAATGTCCTTTCCAGTTCCAAATTGTCATATTCCATCTAGGATAATCGACGCATTTCCAGATTATTTTCTGTATCTGATTTTCACGCCTGGTTAAGCCAAAGGCTGGACTGACATATTTGTCATCTGCTCCTATCGATGTTAGTAGTTTAATAGAACTTCACAAGTATGAGTTAGGGAAGGGGTGAATGCAAACAGCTAGCCAATGTAAAACTAAAGGGTTATTTGAAAGCAGCATCTTTAAACTGATACATGAGATGCAATGAATACATGGGGAGTTGGTGCTAGTGCGTTTAGTCTGAGAGTCACTACTACTAGCTGTACTTCCCATCCCTTTCTGCCTGTTTCTCATCTGTGAAGTAACAGCACATTTCTCTAGTCATCAAGAGTCAGATAGACATTCTTAGCCTCAGCAGCAGTGAAGTTGAGTTGGTCGAGAAGTTTAGGTTTTGAAGAGCAGAACAGGACCTTGATTAATGTATTAGAACAATAACATTGAAAATACCTTGGATTCCTGCATCCCAATCATTGCATGGCCTCACTCCATCAGCACTCACTAGTGTTGAAGTATAGAATGTGTTCCATGGATGAAGGAAATGCCATGCTCCCAGTGCCTGAGCACAGACACAATTCCTCTAGTGCATGTTTACATTCATTATCTGAAACCCTGGATCAGAAAAGAATCTAGTTTTCCTTCCTTTTTACCAGGGAGAAATTTAAGTTGCTTATCAAAACATTACTCAGTATATTTTGCTGGTTTGAGACATTTGTAAAATATTACACAGTATCACTTAACTGACCAGACAAACATTCTATTGTAATGGAGCTGGGAAGGTCCTACTACTTTAGGTCATCAGAATTCCGTCCTGGAAGGCTATGAAATGACTTGTTCTCTCATAGACTTCCTCTCCTTTTCACTTTCTAAACAGCGGGGGAATCATCAGTCTTTCTGGACAATGAACAAATAGCGTGACCTACCCTGTAGAAAGAATGGCTCGTGGACATTGAGCTCATTTAGGCTGGCATTTGAGGGGTAACCCTATGTAAGCCCTGTCTCCAGGCAGGCCAGGACCATAAGGATGATAGATATATTAGGTGTCACTGTAGGAGAGCCCCATGTTGAGGCCCTGTCTCCAGGCAGGCTCCAAACATAGGGAGGAATGAACCAAGCATCAGTGTAGGGATGCCCCATGTTGACATCTCTGAAATTCATTGTTCCATTCAGCTTTCTACTTCTGGACTTTTGTTAATTTTTTCAGGCTGGACATGATTAACTTGAGTATGTAAGAAGTAATCATTTCATCTCACCATACTAGTTATTACAGATAAGAATTGCAGAAGGCAAGCCAAGCTTAAATACTTTACATGGTGTATGTGTGCAAACATGTGTTTGTGCCCACATTTTATACAGCCAGCTCTTAATATATAAGCCTGTCATTTACACCAATTAAAAAAAATTGTACATCAATGGTATCTGGGAAAGAATTTAGGTTTTTTTTTTTCACCTTTACCAAATTCCTATGTAGATAACTAAAATCTCAAAGCTATTATCTACTGACTTTATAGACACCTTTTATTGTTGTTGTTTTAGTTTTATAGTGGTTTTTTTTAAAAGATGTATTTATTCATGTACTTTATGTGTACGAGTGCTCTGTCTTCATGCACACCAGAAGAAGGAATCAGATCCCATTGCAGATGGTTGAGAGCCACTATGTGGGTGCTGGGAATTGAACTCAGGACCTCTGAAAGAACAGCCAGTGCTCTTAGCTACTGAGCCATCTTTCTAGCCCCAGTTTTGTAGGTTTTTATTTTTAAGTTCAAGGACAATTTTGTTAGAATTTAAAAGACAAAACCTCAGGCTAGATAGGCTGTTGATCTCAGCAGTTGCCTGGAGGAAAATATGGAAGAAAAAAGCTTTGTGAAACCAGCATTCATCCAGGACCTGTAACTGGCACCACATGGCAGAAAGGGCAATGGCTTCAGAGGAGTAAGGAAGCCCAAACCATCAGAAAAAGATATTGGGTTCTGACTAAGATCTGAAAGATAAGGGAAAAAGGAAAAGTTGCCTCTTTCTGAGTTAATACTTAGAGGTGAGGGGACCTATCTAAGTATAGTACCTCACTAAAAGGGTCATCCCAGCTATCTCTTTAGTATGGCTAAAGTGAACCTGCTGTCCTGGGAGTGATCCCTTGGCCAGGTGACTGACCCAGCCCAGCTGGGGTATTAGGTCCCTACTCAGGCCAGAGATTCCACTCTCTTGACGGGAAGTTTACCCTCAATGGGTCTTTGTTGTTACTGAAGCAGTAACCCTAAATCATTTATGAACTAGAACCAGGATCAGAGCCCCCAAACACTAATGGTATCTTTGGCCTCTAGTTGGACACTTTCACAAAGGAATGAGAAAGACAGATCCATTTTCAGGAACCTCTATAGGCCATTCCAGAGTTGCCTTGGCAACAAGCTTCGCAGGAAGAGGCACATGGCAGTCTGTGATTGTCAGGGTTGGTGCTCCGCTTGGGCCGGCTAAGGCCCCCTGTAGGAAGGCTCACAGGCCCCTGGAAGCTTGTGGAAACTGTGAAGGGGCCCGAGCTCCGGACTGCTCACCTCCCTCACAGTTTCCACAAGTTTCCCTCTCCCCTCCATTCCCAGAGCAATGTTTTCTGTTTCTCCCCCATGGGCCCTAAGGCCACACTAAGAATCCATTTCATTCCAAGGTTTCTGAATAAAACTTCATCTGGAAAGTTTCCAAAGTTCAAGAAGATAAAGGAGCCAGTTCAAGTGTACAACTGTATCCAGTCTTTGCCAGCCTTGATTCCCAGTAGTCACTGGTTCTGGCCTCTGGTTATTTGAGGCTGAGCTCCCATAAGGCAGTGGGACTGGTTTTTCCTATATCCCACCAACAGTATCAAGGAGAGATAGGAAAATGAAGTGGCCATAACTTCTCTCAAGTTCTCAACCAAGGAGGGTTTTCCTCTATTGTGAGAGAGACTGGATTCTGCCACATCTAGGTTTGCCAACTGGCTATTGTGTAAAGCCTAAGTGAGTTCATCACCTTAAACCTCAGGGTTTTTCTATTTAAAAGTAAGAGCAATCATAATAGACTGTTATAAAACTAAAGTCTCAAAGGAGTCACTATAGCCTAGGCATCCAGCAGGCACTGAGTCACCTTTCCAGCAGCAACTGGCTCTCACACTAGAAGATCTTCACTCTGCTCCAGAGAGTCAGGGTGGCACTTCCAAGGCAGAGCCAGACCAGGGCCTCCACCCCATTTAGTAACAAATTTTATTGATCTGGGAAGTTAGACAAATGTCATTTATAATGCTGAGAATATACATTCCTTGCTAACTTGGGAGAAAGAACTTCCAAGATGAAAACAGAGGCAGGCATTGAGGTACACCTGTAATCCTAGTAGTCAAGATGACTGAGGCAAAAGGATCAAGAGTTCAAATGAGCCCAGGGTCCCTAGTGAGACCCTGTCTCAAATGAACCAACCAACTAACCAACCAACGAACAAGAGTCTGGCTTGACGGTCTCATTCTGAAATCCCAGCTACATGGGAAACTTAGGACAGGACGGCAAGTTCAAAGCCTGTCTGGGCTACAGAGAAAGTTCAAGGTCAGTCTGGGTAACAGTGCAATTGTTTGTTAAGATTAAAAAGTAAATAGAGGGATAGGATGGTAGAATACTTGCCTCTCATGTGTGAAGCCCTGGGTTCAATTCCCAATACTTCCAAAGAAAAAGGGAAAGAAACAGCCAAAGCCCAAGGAGGACTCTTACATGATACTAAATAAGGTATCCAGAGGCCAACCAATCCTGGGAGAAGACCCAAATCACATGGCAGGAAGATGTCTAACATTTCCATACCTCTCTTCTAATCTCTAAGCAAACTTAAAATGTAAATATACAGAAGCTGTAGGCAGGAGTTTAAAGAGAAAGCCCTTTGGTAGTTGTTTATTGCTTTATTGGAACTCAGGCAAGTGCCACTCACTGCCTTTATAGAGCTCTGTGGAATTACATAAGGAGTGGTCAATAACCATTGCCTGATACACCTTCCAAGCTATTACATTACAGCCGCCTTTCATGTCTGAATGCCTTTCTCTTCCAAATGGTTCCAGTTACTCAACTAAGAACTTACACATTGTCAAAAGGGACCAGGTTCTTCTGTTGGTGGGCAGAGCCTAAAACTCCTCCTCCCTAAATGCTTGAATGAACATCTACCCCAAGCAGATCACTGTTACTACTTTCCATTAAAAACTGACAGGAATGTTAGAGTGTTGGTACTGAACAGACAGTCATATTCATCTTCAGACCCATGGAGTCTATTTTGCTACTGGATTCCTGAAAGCCAGGGCTCAAGAGGTTTGTCTTAATGACAAATGGTCATTCCTCTGGTCTGAAGACATGAAGGTTGCCATCAAGGATCCAGAGTCCCTTTGTGCTCATCCATGACATTAAAACGTCCCATGTTTCTGTTACTGAGCTCAGCAGGACCGCAGTGGCTTGGCGTAGATTGGCTCCAGCACATGTTGAGTAAGAATCAAGAAGAGGCCTCCAAGAAAGATGGCACCGAGGAAAGCCAGCAGGGCATAGCGGGCGATGAAAAAGGCATCCACAATCTGAAGAAAGAAAATATCAAACTGGAATCACCTCTGGCGCCCTCCCTGTGTTCACCAGAGATCTGATGGCTGTGCCCAGGGTTTCTTGGTAACTTGCAGTAGCATCCTGCCCTGGGTTCCCTCTGTATATGAGTAAGAAAACTTTCAACTCCCTGGGTAGAAGACACAAGGTTTTTAAAGAAGAGTGGCGGTAGGAAGAGCAACAACTAATAATAGTAAGGTACAGGAAACAAATGGCTCAATTTAGAAGAAAGGGTGGCTTTCACATGAGGTAACTGAAGCTTTCACCAGAAGAGTTCTGAGCCCTAATTGCAAGGGAGTGAGGAAAGTGGCCACTTATCTAAGATATTAAAACACTAAAAGGATATGTAACTTGCCCTGCCATACAGTTGGTTGCTTGGTAACCAGCCATATGTAAAGCCCTAATTCTACTGGTCTTTGCTGACAAAAACCTGTATCTGATCCTGGCTCTACCGAGCTGTCTGCTGTCCATTTCTAGAGAACGGAGCTCTCTTCTCCCCAGAGCTAGGCAGTCATATTTTAATGGGTGGGAACAGCAGGTATCACAATCCAAATGAGTAACTTCACAGAAGCCTAACCCTTAAAGTAGGGAGATTAGCTTGGATTATCCAATCCAGGCAGGTTTGAGGTAAACAAAGTCCTTAAAAACTAAAGACACTTTGGAGAGGGAGCTAGACAGACCTCCAATGAGCTCCAGACCAGCCAAGGTGACATAGTGAGACCTTGTCTCAAGAAACAAAACAAAATGAAAGACGAGGCAGAAGACAGTTTCAGGAAAAGACATATGAGATGAATGCAATCAGAGAGGTGAGACACTGATGGATCTGAAGATGGCCACAGATGTAGGCCATGGGCCAGGCACTGGGATCAGCCTCTATAGCTAGATATCAGGAAGTGGGCATTCCTGCAGAACCATTGGAAAAATGCACAGCTCTGCCCACCCTTGATTTTAACTCAGGGAGACTGATGATGGACTTGTAACCCACACAACTGCAGATGATAAATTTATGGCAGGAACCATTTTGTTGACAGGAATTTGTTATAGCAGCAACAGAAAGCTAATACAGTGTTGATGCAGAAAGTTCCTGGACAATCTAAGCAGTAGTATGAGAGCTCCAAAGACATCAAGAAGGAGGATGCAGCCACCTTCACTGCTCCAGAGACTACCCCAACAGTCAACTTACAATCAAGGTCAGTTTGATAAAACGGTTTTAACATAACTTTGACCTTGGCTGTGGTACTGAACAAGTCTCTTGCGGGCTACATGTTTGCTCGCTCGACTGTTTCACTTTTTAATTAGCCAATTAGCAGGCCTTGGGTGCAGAAGGCCCAGGCCATGTATTATTGATACAGTATTGAGCCAGGCTGCTGCAGGGGCCAGCACTCAGAACCTGAAAGTGAGAACTCCGATTCTACTGGCCATGCTGACAAACATATTTTTCTCAATCCTTGTCTCCTGAGTCTGAAACTCCTATGACAGAATAGAGGGGTTGATTTACAAGTGCTGCTTACTCCGTGCCATTTCCAGTGGTCACATTTGCAATAATTACAAATATGGCAGCACACATCCCTCTCTTCTCCTAAAAACAAAGACACGTGAGTGGGTCATATGTAGAGAGGGCCTGACACCCAAGGGAGTAACTCCTGGAATCTGTATGGTAAGCACAATTTCCCTTAGAGTTTCCAGAACTAACATTTTCCTATCACCATCATTAGTCCTGGGCAGAGCTAGAAGTATGTATTCATTTTACATAAAAAAAATTATGTAATTTTATGGACTGTATCAAATTGACAATCCGTCGGATCTGAAGAATGGTCTCTGATACTCTATTAAGTTCTGACAAGTTTGAAGACTTTGGGGGCAGAGGCTCAGCTTAAATCCTTGCTCTGCTTCTTCCTGGACAGTGTTAACTTGGGCAGGTCACTGGAACCTTTTACCCAGGAAAACAACAGTACTGCCTTCATACCACTTGGGGCTGTTGTGTGGTTTCAACGAGACAATGCAAACAAGGTGTTCAGCGTGGGTCTTGGAAAGACATGTTAGCCACTATCATTGTTTCTATTTCAAGATTAAAATAGCTACAGAAGATGTAATGGGGCAGAAGAGGTCAATACCCTTAGTAAGGGCCTATGGGTTTGAGACCAGACACACATGGTAGAACTGGAGCCCCAAATCAGGAATGAACCAGAACAGGGGAGGTCTGTAGAAATGGAACAATGAAAGAGGTGATACAAATCGAGTTATAGAAGTTGAGGCTGTCGGATGTGGTCTTAGCAATAAGGACCCATCTGCAACTTCCCCCTCCGCTTCCTGCACATGTTAAGGGTCCTCTTGCCCACTATTGTTCATAGCAATGATTCTCTTGACACCACAAGTGGAAAAAGTCAACCTCAGAGGATGGAAAACCATGTCACTCAGCACCCCGAGAGCACTGCATCAATCTTGACCCAGGATCTAAGATTCTGAACCAAGACTGGCAGGAATGGGGAACACCACACTTAAGGCCTATTCCAGGTTTAGGTTCCCAACTGGAACAGTGTAGGGGTGGCTTTCTACACTGTCATTCAGCTCTATGCAAGCAGCAGATGATAACACACCGGTGAGTCACTGTGTCGTGGTGCTGCAGGTGGGAAAGACCCTTTCCCAGGGTAGAGGGACAGGGGCCTCGCAACACCCTTGGAGCCCCATCATTGACTGAACAGGACACAGGGAAGGATGGAGGAGGCTGGGATTAGGGGCAAAATGAAACCCAATAGCGTTACCTTCATTTCCACCTCTGGGACTGGGAATTCACTGGCTCGAGGGAAAAGCAGCAAAACTACAGTAATGACCAGAGCACCGAGGAAGACAAAGACGATGGAGAACCTGGGGCAAAGAGACCTGAGTATCAAAAGCACTGATGACACTCAACTTCTAATCGGCTGGGCCTGTGCTGGCTCCTCCCTGGGGTCAACATTCTATGTTTCAGTCCCTTATGGTCCACAAAGACCTCCCACCCTAAGCCTTGTTTTCTAGACAGGCACCACCTGGGCACATTCCTGTTTATTTCTGTTAATTTCAAATTCCTAACAATGGGAACTTACAGTTTTCTGCACAAAGTATGTGTTCTCAAGTGCAGGCACATGCATACACGCGTGCGCACGCACACATACACACACACCTCCTCCATCCCCACACACCTGTTATTTTTCAGACCAGAACATTTCGGTAAATACTATAGCACTCTGTTTATTACTGACATGACCTCCAGCGTTAGGTCATAGCCTGATATAGAGTGCCAGGCCAACTCACTGTAAGGCCAGTGTCTGTGGGCCCAGGCTAGAGCCTTAGGGACTGTACCAAGCATGGTATCATAAATCTGAACAATTACATAAAACTTTCACCTACAACTCCCAAGGAACTCAATAGCAGCCAAAGCAGATTTTCTTTCATCTCCGGTCTCCCCCCATCCCCTCCATAGTGAGAACTGACACACACTTCCATTCTCCTCCTGCCTCTGCCTGAGCATAAATAACACAGTTAGTGCTTATGATAAGAGGTTAAAATGCAACTCATTCAAACTGCCAGTAATTACAAAAATGATCTTCTGAATTCTAAATGTTTAATGAGCATCAGCAATTTTTGCCTCTAATTGCTTTTACCTAGGGCTCCAGGCTGGAAAGAATGCCTTACCTAGCTATCCCAGAGGCTCTGGACAACAGCGCACACAGCAGCAGCACCAACACCCAGATCAGAGCGAGGAGGAACACACCAGCACCCACTCCCAGCACCATGCCAGCCATCCTAGGGGACAGAGAGCAGCATTAGCCTCTGGCTGGACCCTCTGATTCCCCCATCAAGTGCACCTAGTATTCAAACAATATAGAGAGCCTGAACTCAATTTGAGGAAGCTGATGCAGTATGTCTGGAGGCTCACTCATGATGGGACTTTAATTTTCAGCAATGTCCAGCCCCAGAGTCCCTTAATGAAAACCAGGAATGCAGAACCCAAAGCTTTCTTTTTGTAGGAATAGGGGTGGGGAATCTGGGGGCTGGAGTGAGTATGCTTTCTGCTCACCATGTTGTCAGTTCAAATCTGGTCTCTTCAGCTCTACTTTGACTTCTACCCGAGCTCACATTAGAAATCTGAGCTCTCTCCATCCACAAATCCTAACTAAGGGCTCTTAGAAGGCTGAAGAGCCAATGCAAAAGTTGAAATTTCAGTTAAATCTGAGGTCAGAACTTAGACTGAGCAGGCAATCACAAGGTAAGGATTTTCTACTCTGTTGCCAAGTACTTATTCACAGAAGGAAGAAAACTCCCAGTCCCTAAAAGATGATGTCACCCTTTGGGGCACTTATGATACGCCAAGTGCTTTACTAGACCCGGCATGTTTAGTCATGGCAATCAGAAACATACTATTACATCTGAGCTATACAAGAGGCAAGTTAGTGTTCGTTTCCTAATTGAGGCTCACAACAAGAGGAATTCGTTCTCAGTTCTTGAGACCATAGGTCTACAATAGAGGTATCCATGGGGTAACACACCCCTACAGGATCTAAGCCAAGATGCTTTCTTAGGTCTTCCAGTTTCTGGTGGCACCAGGACTCCCCCCGTTACAAGGCTCCCCATTAACTGTCATTATCTGCACGTGACACTTCCCCTCTCTGCCCATGTGCAAAGATCCTTTTGCCAAATCTAATCACATTTACAGATGCTGGGAGTTAGGTGTGGACATCTTTTGGTGGGCACTATTCAGTCCAGTAATGAGGTAACACCATCCTAGCACATCTCCCTGGAGCTTCCTTTTCAGTATCAGAGACAAATCTTCAGGAAACAGATTCTTCCCTAGGTTTTGGGGCTTCTTTACCTGGTGATTTAAACACAACATAAATATAAATATGTTGAGGTGTCCTGTTGCAAGCTTACTGGAAGAAGACTAAGCATGAACTGGAAAAAAAAAGAAAGAAAGAAAAGGAAAAAGGAAAAAAGTTGATTCAATCAACACTGTGCTGTGCCCACCATGGAAAACACTGTGCTCCTAGTTAGAATGACAAAGGTTAAAAAAAAAAAATACATATCCCAGGAAAAGATGACAATCTATTAGGGAACAATGTGATGCAAACAGCTATCCGTATTATATTCTCATTTGCGACAAAAGCAAATAGCATCAAGAGCTTTGCAAAGGTTAAGGGAGAAGCCAGTGCTAGCACACTTGGGAAGGAGTCAGTGTGGCAGGATGGTGGAGTAGGGGGAGCATCCACTTGCCTCTGTCCTTCCTGCAGAGCGTTCTATCCTCATTAGAGTCCAGTGAGTATCATGTCAGTAACTGGAGCAGGGCAAGCACTTCCCTGTCTCTAGGACTTTGTATTTGTGGTTTCTCAGGCCCAAAAGGAGCCTGCTATTTGGTTATCTGTGTGACTGGGCTGGCCTTTCCTCGTGGTTGACATTGTAGCTTCATCAGAAGAATGTCATCCTCAGAGAGCCCTTCCCTGACTTCCCACCTACAGTAACTCTCCAAAAGCATTAGTCTCTCCCTCTTTCTTCCAGAGCACTCTTTCCCAGATGTAGGTAATGACTCAGGCTCTTGCACACCAGGCAAATGCTCTACTACTGAGCTATCGCCTCAGCCTCCACAGTTAACACTTCCATCCATTTGTTTACAAGTTCACTTTCTGTCTCCCTTTATTAAGAAAATACAGCCCTGAGGACAGAAACTATTTTTCCCACCCTGCCATTCCAAGTTCTCAGCATAAAGAGAGTATGTGTAACAAGTATTTGCTGGTGAATAAGTGAAGCCACACTGGCCAGTCTGTAAAATTCAAGTGAAAGGCGATAAGGTCATAGCAAAGATGATGGGAACGCTACACAGGGCTAACAAGGTAAGTGCCTCACAGAACAGTGGAAGGGATTAGCAAAATGGAGTTTCTAAAACCTTAATATGTAAAATGGTAATACTCTAAAATGCTCTCAACTTAAAGTACAGCCAAAGCCTGATGGGTAAGCAGGGGCTGGGCTCAAAGACCACAGTGGCCCTGACTGGAGATGGAGGCCTAAGAGGTTCCCAGTGAGACCTCAGCCCATGGTGCATAGAATTAGAACCAAGGCAACAACAGTGTTTAACACTGGGCCCTCAGAGGGTCAAGCAGTGTTTGAATAAACTCTGAAGAATCTACTAAGAACTTAGTTGAAGAGATCAGGCCAAGTGACTCAGGCTATGACAAAAAGAAAAAAAGAAAAAAAAAAAAAAAAGAAAAGAAAAAAAAAAAAGGCCAACGAGAGAGAAATGTGAATCTTAACCCTATATTACCTGCAAGCACAGAGTTAGGGTCCCACTAGCAGGCTGTGTGGGATTCCTAGTAGAAAGATTAACTACAATAAGCTGTTCTGGAATAATCTTTTTGTACACTGTGAAGATGTGTCACAAAACAGCCAATAGCTAGGCAGGATGCTGGGAAGAAGGAGAAGATGCCAGGAGATGCAGAACAAGCAGGATAGGCAGTACAGAGATGAGGTAATAAAGCCATGTGACAAAAAGTAAATTAATAGAAATGGGTTAATGTAAGTTATAAGAGTGAGTTAGTTAGAAACAAACCTAAGCTAAGGCCAAGTTTTCATAATCAATGTCTCCATGTCATTTTTTGTCCACCCAATGAAAAATCCATCTACAATAAACTACAAAATAATGACAATAAATACAATAACTAAATAAATACCACAATAAATAACTACAAAAAAACCCTATAATTAACTACAGAGACTACAATAAAAATGAGAAGCCTACAAGGTCCCCAACAAACTAACTAAAGTTGCTATTGGGGACACCCCTCAGCAGGCATACAAGGCTCCTTCAAGAGTAAATATGAGGGGGGCTGAGGAGGTAGTTAAGTTGGCAAAGGGCCTGTGGCAAAAGCATAAGGCCCAGAGTTCCAATCTCCAGAACTCATGTAAAGGCGATGGTGTCTATCTGTGACCCAGCACTGGGGAGCATGGAAAGGAGGACCCTGGAGCTCACTGGCTAGCCAGTCTAGCTAACTGGAGGACTCCAGGTTCAGTGGGAGATCCTGTCTGAAAAGTAAGGTGGAGAAGCAATCAGAGAAGACACCTGGCATTGACCTCTGGCTTCTACCACTTGCATATACACCTGCATGCATAAATGCACACACCCACATAAACCCACACCCAACCAGCACACAAAACTTTCAAAGAAGAAATGAATATTAAATAGGCTGGGAGGTTCAGATCAATGGTAGAGCATATACCTATCACAAATGAGGCCCTAGGTGCAACCCCATGCAGAATATAAAATTTTTATTTTACATTTGTTATGCAGCAGTAATCATGGACTCACAGTAAATGTAAGCATTCCAGACTTGACTGTTGAAAGATTCTCATCCTAGATTATAAAAACTAAAAGTAGTGTTTGCTTCTGCAGCATACATACTAAAATTGGAACGATACAGAGAAGATTAGCATGGCCCCTGCACAAGGATGGCACACAAATTTGTGAAGCATTCCGCATTTTAAAATAAATAAAATAAAAGTAGTTCTTTACAAAAGTGACAGAAAACGCAAATGAGAAGATGAAAAGATGAATTTGAAAAAGATATATGAGGCAGATACTAGCAAAGAAAATACAGGGACAGGAGGGACTGGGGGGGGGGCAATGACAATAAACTCAGAACCCTAGCCTTCAGGGTAGAAGCTTCACAGTAATGTAAACACTGAGCACTACCCAACTGCATGCTTCGAATGGTTAGGATGGGAAACATCGTGTGTGGTCTGCCACAATTGGGTAAAGCAGAATAAAATGTAAGCGTGTGGACCATTATTAGTAACAAGGACATGCATGGAAATATTTGAAACTATCAATAAGAACAGTTTTTGAAAGGAATAATTTAAGCCCCCCAAAAAAAGATGTAACCTAAAGGAAATATGAACCTAATGACAAAGCCTCAAAGTGTACAGTCAAAGCACCACAATAATGGGAAAACCCAAATTGATGGATTTTACTATTACTTCAGAGATTGATCAGAGGAAAAATGAGAATAAACATCATACAGAGGATAGCTGAATGGCCAATACAGGTAAAGGTCCTTACCTCATTAGTCACCAGAAACATGCAAATAAAAATCAAATGAAGTATCTCTATGTATATCTACCAGATATCCAAAAGGTCAATGGCAGACAGACCACAAAGACGCAGAGCATTATACACACCATCAATCATACAAATGACAGAATAAAGCAATACAAATGAATGAATACATTACACTTACATCTAACAGTGTAGGTGAGTTTCACAAGCATTCAGTGAAGGACAGAGTAAAAAGTTCACTGTAGACTCCAATTATATGATGTTCAAATACAGGTCTGACTGCTCTAGGGTACCTGGAGTGACTGGATGGGGCACTGATGATTTGATCTGGGCATTAGTTACCTGGCTTTGTAACTTTGGTAATCAGTATCTAGCTTCAGATACTTGGGGTTTGTGCCATTTTCTATTGTGTTACACTTAACTACAAACCCTTTTGTGAAATGACTCAATGGTCATTGGATAGTTAAGTGAAATATACTCTCTAAAAGTGTAGATTCCCTTTAAAGTTTAAGAAAAAGGGGTATTCTTTATGACACACAAATCTACACAGACACACACAACACATTCCAACAGCAGAACATTGTGCCCAGGCATTTCATGATATTTAGGGGATGTGGTTGGGGATGAGGGGCTGATGTGAAACAGATTGGTCATGAGGTACTTAGTTCCTGAAGCTGGGTGATAGGTGAGTAGATACTGACTTTACTATTTTCTTAACACATGGAGTTCAAACTTGTACGGTAAAAATATGTATGCATATGCATACATGTATAAGTATGACTAAATACAACAGATATTTTTAAGATTTTTTTTGTAGCTAAAACTATGTAGCTTTATGAAAAGGCCTTTTAAAAGTACCTGGACAGTGGGGTAAAGCAGGCTGTGTAGAGAAGTAACTCCTGCTTTTAGATGAGTTTTCTTAATTAAAAGAAAAATCTCAATTTTTTCCTAATGTAAAAATTCAGTGCAATTCTAACCAAAATCCAAAAATACTTTTTCAAGGAACTAGAAAACGAATCCCACATTCACACAGGGGAGTAAAGAGCCAAGAATAGCCAACACCACTTGAGAACTAGGAACGGCAACGTGCCTTGTCACCAACTGCCGCAGACACATTATGAAACCAAGGTAATTAAAACAGTGGGGCAAAGACACATGGACCACGAGCAGGAAACTGAAAGCTCAGACACAGATCTGTGTGTTCGTGAGGATTTCATACTCCCTAGGAAGAAAAGATGGCTTCATGGCCCAGGGCGTAAAGGGTTTCACAGTGGGGGTAACATGAACAATTATCTAACCAGAGAACAATAAAACTCGACCTCTACTCTGTAGCATGTACAAAAGTCGATTTTTAGTGGAAGTAATTCATAATGGAACGGCATATGTTTAAATATATGAATGTTCAGGCTGACTACGCTAGAATACATAATGAAGTACAGTAGCCAGATGCTTGCACCTAAACTTAGAATCACCATGAGTGGGAAAGTGCCATGTGCACACTATGCAGGTGTGTTGTGCTGGCAACTCAAATACCACGAGCTGTGCTGCCCTTCAGTTACATGATTTTTCTAGACGGAGGAACAAGTCTTGTTAAAGCTCCAAACCACAGATCAGTATAATTTTCCCTTGATTTACATTCCTGGAAATTACACTTTATTAAACTGTGCCAAAAATTACATTATGTTAAAACACACACACACACACACACACACACACACACACACACACACAAAATGGAGTTAGGTTCTAGGCCCAGATAATTATTACATGAGAACACTGGAAAGTTGCACAAGACACAGGGCAATTCTTCTCATTTGAGGACTGTCCCAACATTGCACACCTAACGTTCTCAGCTCCCTAGTATATTCCAACCACAATAATAACTAAATATGGCCTCACAAATTCTCAAATGTCCCTCAGGTACAAGAACCTTCCTTGAAAAGTTTAAACAAAATTCTAAAAACTGTCACATAAGGGGACACAGATGAGGACATTCACTGTAATTTCAATAGCAAAATAGGAGGGGAAAAGCTACACACCTGCCAAATGGATTTATCACAAATGAATGGACTTAATCTATATGCACTGACATGAATATATCTCAGCTGCAGTGCCGAGCAACAAAAGCAAGTTGCAACCCAGGAACAGTGGCCTGTATCTGCAATGCCAGCACTTGGGGGAACTGAGGCAGACCAATCTCCAGTTCCAGGCCAGTGAGGCCCTACCTAAAACAAACAGACACAAACACACATGCAGATATATAAGTAAATAAACAGCTGTTCTTTTTCTTCTTCTTCCAGGGATTGTTCACCTTCGTACCAAGACGGTTGGGAAAGCTCTAAATCGAATGTGGTGTGTGGGGGTGGGGTGGGGTGTGGGGAGGGTCCCTGCTGTAAGACCTCAAGTCCACATGAGGTTATCTGAAACAAAGATGCACTCAGCACATCAGCAGGGCCCATGTGTGCTAAGCGTGAACATGACAGATCAAATGTGCCTCCTTGTGGAGAAGCAGAAGTCACTGTGGAAGTGTTGAAGGCACGAGCATAGAAGTCAGAAAGTGAAGTAAATACAGAGCTTTTTTAAGTAATAAAAATCAAAGTTCTTGGGGAGAAAGTAAATAAATAAATGTAAGCTGTAAACTGAAATCCAAAGCACACAGCTTATATTTTAAACTTTAAAAAGGTTATCTTCAGTCAGGTGTGGTACCACACTCCTTTAATCCCAGCAGTATGGAGGCAGAGGCATATATATTCAAAGTATTACAGCAAGGGCACTGGGCTGGGAGTAAAGTGCTTGCCCTGAAAGTGGGAGGAGTTGAGTTAGACCACTGAACCCATGTGAAAAATGCTTATAATTCCAGTGCTGGAAAGGCAGAGACGGGAGGCTTCCTGGAGCTGCTGGCCAGCCTGTCTAGCCTAACTGCACTCCAGGCAAATAAGAGACATAATCTCAAATGGCAGAGTTCTTGAGGATAACACCTGACATTATTCTCCAGCTTCTACCTGAGCATACATGCAAGTACACCAACCCTGGACACACATGTTTAAAAAAAACAACAACAACAAAAGAAACATGATACAAATTATACACAGCAATTCTGGTGTCTCTGGGAGGCAGGAAGCAGAATGGGACCAGCCAAGAGAATAGAAGGGATTGTAATATTTGTGATGCTAGTTTCTTTAAAATAAAAACCATGAATAGAATGCCAGAATGCTAATACTTACTAATCTGGCTGGTAGGCATAACTACTGTATTATATTATACAAACCAGAGATTTTAACAGCCCCTAGTTTGGGAGACTTCTTTGTTTTTATTTTTCTAACTTCCTTAATGCTCATTTTTTATTTTATGTGCCTTGGTGTTTTGCCTGAATATATGTCTGTGTGAAGATGCTGGATCTCCTGGAACTGGAGTTACAGACAGTTGTGAGCTGCCATGTGGGTGCTGGGAATAGAATCCAGGTCCTCCAGAAGAGCAGCCAGTGCTCTTAACCACTGAGCCATCTCTCCAGCCCTAAGAAATTAAAGAGACTTCTTAATTTTTAAAAGGCAATTGATAGCTTTGTCTAGCAGCTTCAGGTTTCCCGGCTACCTGAGTAACTGAGGCAGAAGAATTTCCAGTTCAAGGTCTACCTGGGCAACTTGGTAGGACAGTTTGAAAATAAAGTTACAAAACATGAAAAAAAAAAAAAAAAAAAACCCAAACAAACAAACAAAAAACTAAGGGCTAGAGAATTAGTTGTTGGCAGAGTTCTTAGAACCAAGTTCCCCCATATCAGGGTGTATATGTCCTGATAAGGATACTTGTCTTGCTGAGCAGTGGTGGGGCATGCCTTTCCTTTAATCCTAGCACTCAGGAGGCAGAGGCAGGTGGATATCTGTGAGTTTGAGACCAGCCTGGTCTACATAGTGAGTTCCAGGACAGCCGACTGCTATACAGAGAAACCCTGTCTCAGAAACAAAACAAACAAACAAAAAGAGCACTTGTCTTAGCTGTGGAAATGGAAAGGTGTCAGAGGGCTATTTGCAATGAGCAGTGTGACTGACTGAGCTGATGGGACGGCCTTGAAGGAAACGTCTACCTGTGATTAGCTGTGCTGTTCTGGACACCATACAATAACCCAGAAGACATGAACAACTCTCATCACCTAGAAATCAGGGTAAATGACAGTTGGCACTGGTAACATCAGAAACATTGATCTTCTATCCTTACAAATGCTGACAAAACTTAGAAGTCAAGTTATACTTGTGTTACGACTTCTAAAATGAGGGTCATTATTTCATAATCAAATTATGTATTCTTTTTTAGATTTTTCTTTGAGATGTGTGTGTGTGTGTTGATGGGCACATTGGGGATAGAACCCAGGGCTTCATGCATGTGTGTGTGATATTTGTGCAGGTGTGAACCCAGGGTCTCATGCATGCATGTTTGTGTGTTTGCATGTGTATGGTATTTGTGCAGGCATCTATGGAGGCTAAAGAGACCATCAGATTCCCTGAAACTGGAGTCACAGATTGTTTTTAAGCCTGGGAATTAGACTCCAGTCTTTAGAAGAGCAGCAAGTGCTCTTAGCAGCTGAGTCATCCCTACAGTCCCAGTGACCTTCTGATGCCCCTGCACCCATCTCCCCAGTGACCTTCTGATGCCCCTGCACCCATCTCCCCAGTGACCTTCTGATGCCCCTGCACCCATCTCCCCAGTGACCTTCTGATGCCCCTGCACCCATCTCCCCAGTGACCTTCTGATGCTCCTGCACCCATCTCCCCAGTGACCTTCTGATGCCCCTGCACCCATCTCCCCAGTGACCTTCTGATGCCCCTGCACCCATCTCCCCAGTGACCTTCTGATGCCCCTGCACCCATCTCCCCAGTGACCTTCTGATGCCCCTGCACCCATCTCCCCAGTGACCTTCTGATGCTCCTGCACCCATCTCTGGTTGCTGAGATTACAAGGGTGTGGACCACTCCCTGTTCATGAGGTGCTAGACAGAAATCAGGGGCCTCGTGCATGGTAGGTGAGACTGTGACTTCTCAGCTACATCCCCAAGCCTCTGGGATGGCCAAATTGGTTGTTAGTGAGATTTGATTAAAACAAAAAGTGTTTATTTACTTAAGATTCAGAATACTCTTCAAATATTCTTTGAGAGCTGATGGCTTAGCCAACACAATTTTAAGAGTAAATTAATTTGAATCAGGTGACCTAGAGTAGGAAGAACGATCCGTGCACATGAAAAGGCCTTGTCTAGAGGCTGACAAGAGCAACAAACGCAGGGCCAGGCGTTCTGTTGTTGTTTCTCTCCCTGTGGTGGAAGCTGGGAGGTATTTTGTTGTTAGATTTCTCCAGGCCCTGCATATATGTGTGTGTCCTGCATTCTCCCTTCATCTAAGGTTGGTTCTACATTGGCTCTCACCAGTACCCAGGGAAAACTGAAGAGCTCAAGGGAAACTAAGATCTGTCACAGAACACTTCCTGTCCAGGGAAGACAGAGATTGCTGGGACAATAGTGTGGCTTGAGGCGGTTGGTGGATCATACCTTGCCCATACCCTAATTTTCAGAACCAAGCCCTTGAAAGCAATAGAAAATAATAGGTTACTGGACAGGGTTGCCTTTCCGAAGAAATCCTTTTCCATTCTCCTTGTTTTTTGTTTGTTTTGTTTTCACTGTTGTTGTTTTGAGATAGATTTTCTTTGTGTGACAGCCCTGGCTGTCCTGGAACTCGATTTGTAGACATGACTGGCTTCGAACTCACAGAGATCCGCCTGCCTCCCCACCCCACCCTGCCTCTAGAGTACTGAGACTACAGGTGACATCCGGCTCCCTTTTTAATTCCTCAGCCTTCCCACCGCCCTTTTTAATTTTCTTGATTACTTATTCCAAACCTTCAAAAGTAGTGAGAATGGCCTGGTGTCGTATACACACCTGTCATCCTAGCATTCAAAAGCCTGGTGAAGGAGCATCGTAATTTTGAGGCCAGCCTGGGATATACAACAAGACTCATCTCAAAAAACAACAACAAACTGAAGTCCTGAGAGTTTACACTTTTTTTTTTTTTTTTCTGCTGCTGCTTTAAAAGCTTTCTGCCTCGTTTGGGTTTTTAAACATTAGGCTAATGCCTCTATCTTTGTTGGTCGAAGCACATGCAAGTTTGAGGAAACCCAAATGCCAGGATGCCTAAAGACCACTTGACGACAAAGAGGGTGCTCCATTGTCTTTGATCCTGCCCTTTTTCCTGGGCAGGCAACGATTCAGACGGCTGGCCTTACCACACAACACTTCCCAGCCGCACAGCTGGGAACGCTGGGATCTATGCATCAATCCCAGGCCTGCCGCCAGGGTGGCTTGCGGGGGTCCGCGCGCCCCCCGCCCTCGCCTTCCCGGCCTCCGCTGCCAAGTCTCCGGTCCTCACCTGGCTCTCGGGTTCCTTAACCAGACTCACAACTCACCCTCCATCCAGCTCACCGGGGCTTTGATCTACTTTGGACGAATCACAAGTAGGTTTTTATTTAGGAGATTTACGATGGACCAATCAAAGTTGCTCTTTGAGCACTTAGCTTCCTTCTCGTTAGCTCACGGTTTTGCTGTGGCTCCAGGCAACGCAAAGCGTGGTGGGTGGTGATCACGTCGGTCTCCTTTACGCCCTCCGATTGGTCGGTCATGCACTGTCCTCAGTTTCGATTGGACAGCATTCCTTGTCAATCACATCTCCTTAACCACTAAACCCTGGGACAACAACCGGAGGACCATTTTTTAGCTTCTCACTGTCCGGAGTTGAGATTGCGCGGCCTGCCGCAGAGCTGCCTGGTCAAAGCTGCCTGGTCAATTCTTCTGGAGGTGCGGAAGTTCCGCGGTCTAGACATAAGCTCCTGTCCCGCCATCTGATGAGTAATCAGTCCCCAATCCGCGGGAGGGGCCTAGGATTGTGGGAGCAAGTCAAATCGGCTGGGCGCCTCAAGGGTCCCTAACATCACTCCTTAATTGAGTCCAGATCACTAATTGAGATAACTTCACATTCTATTATACTTAACCAACTTTATTTTATTGGTCGTTATTCCTCCCTTTGTTTTTAAAATGTACCGAAGCAAGGATCCACCGCTTGCTCTTCTCTAAGTGTGGATCAGCTGCCTGGATAGCATGGCAATAATAAAAGGTTTATTTGACCTTGGGCCTCTTCCCCAGTCTGTCTCTTGGTTTCACTGATCCTTGCTTCGGTACTATTAGAGGCTGAGATACAAGAAATAAAATTCGACCCCTGCCTTAATGAGTTTTGTAGTGTCAGGCCAACAACACAAGGTCTAACAATGGCCAAACCTAATTTATAGTTAACTACTCCAGAGGATAGCAATGTTCCATACTTCAGAATACTTTGATGTTTAAACTTTTTTTTTTTTTTGTCTTTTGAGAATGGGTTTCTCTGTGTAATAGCTCTGGATATCCTGGAGCTAGCTCTGTAGACCAGGGTGACCTCGAACTCACAGAAATGGTCCTGCCTCTGCTTCTTAAGTGCTGGGATTAAAGGCATGAACCATCACCCCCTGGCCTGATGTTTGAACTTTTATTTCCTGGGTATGAATGTTTTGCCTACATGTGTGCATATGTACTGCATCCATGCACATGTTCCCAAAGGTCAGAAGAAGTTGTCCCACAGCTTCCCTTTCCAGCAGTCTAACTATGAACCCATGTAAGGTAATTAATCCACTGATGGTAGGAGCCTTCAGGATCCAGTCACTTTCTCCATAAGCCCATTAGAGCCCACTCTCTGTGCCTCTGGGGAGCTATAGACCCAAACCATAAAGAATGAGTCCTTTAGTTAAAGTTTTCTTCTCTTTGAAGAAAACAGATAAAGGCAAAACAACAAGAAACGATGTTCACGTGTCGTTCTCAATTGTGTAATGGCCATAAGTGAAGCTTGATGGCCACACGGTGTGCTCATTTGTTTTTATGTTGATTGTGCCTGGATTCCCTGCAGTAACAACAGCTGGGCTGTAACCACAGACTACGGGGTTCATAGTCTAAAATACTTAACATTGGGAACTTCAGGAAGAAGTTGATTCTTCTACCTTAGATGTCTCCTGTAAGGCCATCTGGTTATACGTATAGTATATAAATACTGAGGAAGCTAGGGCAGGAGAATCTCAAGTTTGAGAGCAGCCTGAGTTAAATAGCAAGCATGAAGCCAGCCAAGATTTTATATGGAAACTCTATGTCAATAAAACAACTACAAAAACGATGCTGATAATGAATCAGGTTCAACTGGTTATTGGAACTGAACAGACTTTAGAAGTCATACATTATTTTTTTTCTCAGATTGGTAGAGATTAAATTTCATCTTTTCTAAAACCACACATTCAGTGGACATAGAAAGTTCTAGAAGCCTGTTCTATCAATACAACATTTCTTCCATCTATGTCATTTCCTTTCTCAGGCAGAGTTTACCTTACTTAGGATGAGGCCAGTGTTCTGTAAGCTGGCAGCATAGAAAGTTTGTCAAACTTTCATAATTTTTATCCTGTGTCTCACTGACACTATACCTTGTGGCCTATTAATATGTTAGACATTTATACTTTACTCCAGCAATTTTGAATTGCCTCCTCTTTTCCATTTTTTTTTTTAAATTCTCCTTGCTTTACAAAAAGCATGTGGCCACTGGGTTAATCGACTTTCCAAGACTGAGAGAAAAGAGTGAGATAGCTTCAAACAAGGAAAGGTCTATTTTGGCTCACAGCTTCCAATGCTGGGTCTGTCTTTGGTTGCTTCTATGGTTTGGCAGCCTGTGGCAACACATCATGGTGGGAATCGTATGATAGAGCAAAGCCGTTTACTGGGCTGTGGCCAGAAAACAGAAAAAGAAGAAGGAGCTGGGCCCTATAGCCTTTTTAAGGGCACACTCCTCACCCACAGTGACCTAACTTCCTTCTCTTCAGCCCTGTGTCCTAAAGGTTCTACAACCTCCCAATAGCACCCTGGGTTGGGGACCATACAGGCCTTTAAGGGACACTTCTCTAAACCGAAAAAAACCTTTCGGTCCTTTCTCTTTCAGCCAAGGAATTTAGAGGTTGCAGCTAAAGATTGTTAAGGGAGGGAAGGATGGTCGGGAAGAGCTAAGAACGAACAGTTTTAACTCTGGAGCCCGTAGGTATCTGTGTGTGAAGGGCAGAAGGGCTGTCCACAGACTCCCTGGAATTGTGTGGCTTAATGATATGATGTGGAATAGCTGTAGCTTTTATACAATTTGAAAGGAAATCCACGACCCCAACAATATTTAAAATTATAGATTCTTTGCGGGGGGAGACTACTCTGAGGGGTATTAGTGGAGAATGACCCAGATCCCCTGATCTGTCAGGCCTTGCTGACTTCAAGTGAGGACCCCATTCCCGCTCACATCAGCCCACTCAAGTTTTACCCTCTCTGCCACTCAAGAGGTGATAAAAATTCATCAGACTCACAGAATATTTGAAGTCAGATGGTGATAAAAATTCCCCATATAATTCTGTCCAAAGGATGCTCTGATTAATAGAAACTGCAGAGGAACTAATTTTATGAAAATAGCAAACGGAATTGTTTCAGTTGAAGCAGCCGAGAGAGTTGGTGCCGACGCCAAGCAGGAAGATGCAAACAACCCCATTGTGTGGAGCTGACAGCTCCAATCCTGTCGCTTATTTATTAAATGTCTTTCCGCTGTAAATTATTACGCTTGGATTTGGGGAGATGTGGGAGCTGACAGAATAAGACAATAGAACAGAAAGCAGGCCTGGATCCCTTCCTTCAGTATTATGTCAGCATTGTGTTTTCTGAAAAGCCCTGCTCTCCCACCACACACACACACACACACACACACACACACCAGCGTTGGAGAAGGAGGGTGGTTCTCCCTTCCAAGAGCTCAGAAATGGATGAGACAAGCAACATGCTTTTGATTTAATAATCATGTGCTAGTCCTTACAGATTGGAATGGTTTTCATAGAAAATTCAACCTGTTGGCTCACAACTAGGTAACAGATATTTTGTTTATTCTCTGAAAGGGTTGCTTTTACCCAGACAAAGGAGAGCTTGGCCAGCCTTAACATTAGGAAGCACCAAATCAAATGATTCAGGACACACAGCTCTCATATCTAGTTCATGTGTCTTATCTGATAGATGGGAAGGCCTTTCGTACCAGGATGGAACTCCAGGGTTTATTTCTTAATGCCAAAGAGTAGACAAACAGGGAAGGAAGTTGAATTCTGACTATGTCCGCCACCGTTTGAGAAACCTGTCATTCTAGTGGAGAGGGGAGTAATGCATTTACACGAATCTTAGGTGCAGCTTTTATCCTCTGCCTTCTAGACAGCACAATGGAGGGTTGAGGCTGTTTCTTGGCCAGATACTGACTATTTACCACTCAGGGCAAGTAATATAGCACATGTGGCAGTTGGCCGCCCAAGCAGGGTCATTCATCTCTTGTGGCATTCGCTTATCGTTTCTATGTATTTTGTGCTATTTTGGAAAGTAAGAGTAAGGAATGAGCAAAATCACAGAACTTCCATTTTAGTAGGCAGAACCAAGTAATCAAAAAATAAACATGGCTTTAAGTGACATGAAGATACAAAGTAGAGGAAAGGGACAATGAGTGGTGGAAGCTCATGGTGGATAGGAAACCCTGTTGTATAGATGGCAACCAAGGAAGACCCCTCTAATGAAGTAATAAGCTTAAGAAAGTGAGTAGATAAGCTACCTGGGGAAGACCTAAGGGCTAAGCAATCATGAGAAGGGTGATAGGGGCTCCTCAAAGTGGGACTTATGGTCACCAGAAAGCGTAAACATTTTTTTCTGAATGAAATGGGAGACTGGATTAGCTTTGAGCAGGCAAATGGCATGATCTGGATGTCCCATGCAATATCCAGAACAACTTGTGGTTCCTACATAAGAAGGGCTGCTTCCTACAACACCAAGCCACACACTAGGGTTTGGTGATTCCTCCTGGATTGGATGAGAAAGCTCATCATACATTTCACCTGTGGGGCAGGTGTAGCTTCTCTGTGGGATTATGATTAGGTGGAAGTTAATATCTCTTGTACTAAAAATTAGCAAGAGAAACCAGGCGTTCATGGCACATGCCTTTAATCCCAGCACTGGGGAGGCAGAAGCAGGCAGATCTCTGTGACTTTGAAGCCCGCCTAGTCTACAAAGTGAGTTCCAGGACAAGCTTCAAAGCTACACAGAGAAAGCCTGTCTCGAGAAACAAACAAACAAACAAACAAACAAACAAAAAAAAATGAGCAAGAGAACATAAAACCATGGGTGGACTCTGGAGGTCCTTAGTTTTGATTCCAGTACACTTATTAGCTGGCTAGGGAGCCTCACAAATGCCTGTGACTCTGACACAGGCCATTGGTTCTGGCTTCTGGCCTCAACTGGCGTGTACACAGAGACACAGACTCATACATATACACACAAATTAAAAAATAAAAATCATTTTTTAAAAAAGCATACAGCAAGCCAAAGGATATGAATCTGCCAGCCCCAGCCCTCCCCACAGCTGGGTTTGCAGACCAGGCATCGTGTATGGGAAACAGACATTAACTAGCTGACTGTAGGT